AAAATTATTAAGTGATATATTAGTGATTTGGAAAACATAGTTCAAACTATCCTGAATTAGCTGGTGATGGGTGATCATTAGTTTTATTGTAACTATTTGACAATTAGAGGGAAAGTTCTTGAGGGGAGAGATACTAACAATTAAAATAGGAGGTAGGTCTTGTGTAATTGTAAAAAAGAATGTGATGGTTTATATTATTTAAAAGTTCTTTTTATTTATTCAATAGGTATAGTTTGAAAATGTGTGTTAATTTATTGAATTACCTATTTATGTAAAAGATAGCTATATCACAATGAATGAAGGTAGAAACCTTCTAGGTAGGTTGTCAGATTGTGATGTTAAAATGATTAAAACTAAAACAATTAAGGACACTTAGGGACAAACAGAACACAATTAAAAAGGTAAAACAGACATTAAAATTTAAAAGAGGGCAATTATTGGCACTACATCACTTGAGCAGTTTAGATGCAAAAACGAACATTTTCAATTGTTACTCTTTTTTTCTTTAAAAAAACATACAGAAGTTAAAACAATTCTTTTTTCTTTAGTTTATGCCTTATCCTAGTTTATGACAGGATAATTTAAATTGATTTTAAATATCATTAAAGGAAAAAAAATAAATATATTAAAAAATAGCGTTGTAAATCTTTTTTTATTTTACTCAATGACATAAAGTGGAAATGTCCGGTTTTGAATCAGACTCCTCACTTATTAGGAGAGAAACTTAATTTTTTGTTGTCTACTAGACTAAAGCCCTGTGGTCTTCACCAGAAATCTCATGTTTATTATTTAAGGTTGATAATAATAAACAAACTTGTTAGGCTTGGTTACATAGTATGAAACTAAAGTAATGTTTATAGTGAACAAAAATTTTTAAGAATACAGTGAGCGATTTGTCATTTCAAGCAATGATTTGGGTAAACTCTTCCTATATTTTCTGATAGTATCCAAAAGAGTTAAATTTTTGGATGAGAGTTCTTTAGATAAAGCAAAGTCGGTAAAAAAATTATAAGTTGTAATATGTTGACCAGACCTATACCAATGTTCTGCAAGTGTTTTGACAACTGTTGGGCCTTAAAAGACCACGCAGAAAGGCACTAGATTTAAATAAACTTAGAAACAAAAATGTAAGATAATAAACAGAAGAATAAATAAATGAAAACCTACATTCAGTGTAGTACAAAATTAACGATACAAATAACGTTAACCAAAAACTAAAGGACATAAATACAGTTATACAAACAGCAGGAAAGAAACATCTTATAGAAACAACAACAAAGAATAAGGAGTGGATGACACAAGATATACTAGACTAGATGGAATCAAGAGAGAAGAAAATAATATAATAAAGAAGAATAATATATAATAAAGAAGAAATATAAAGAATTACCTAGCTAAATACAAAGAAATAAACAAACCCATAAAAAAGAGAATAAAAGAAGCCAAAGAGGAGTGAATTAAAGAACTGTGTGAAGAAATGGAAACCTATGAGAAAAAGTATGATACGTTCAATATGCACAAAAAAATAAAAGAAATAACAGGAAGCATAAAGAAATGTCAAAGTTCTAGATCTAGAAAATAAAATAAAAATATGGACAGAATAGGTACCTGAATGAAATATTTGAAGACGATAGAAACAACTCAGATAATCAATGCAACTGGGCAAGACATATTGAAAGAAGAAGTAGAATACTCAATGAGAAACGCTAAAAATGAAGAAGCAAATGGACCTGATGACATTCCTACAGAACTGTTGAAGCTTGTGAATGATAAATCCGTAACCATAATATTTCATCTATTCAATACAAAATACAGTACCGGTAGGATACCTCAAAAACGTTTGTCACTATACTGAGGCAATGCAATGTTCAGATCATCGAACAATCTACTTGATGAGTCATTTGCTTAAAATATTTCTTAGAGTCATCCACAACCGAATCTATCAAAAGTTAGATATCAACGATACACAGATACAAAGCGTATATACTTCAAAATACTTATAAATTTATCCCGGCTTAGAGAGGCTACTATCTGATAGCAGTAAGACATACACCTCAGCTTTACTTAAAGGTTTATTCCTTTTCCACATTTTGATAATATAATACTGCACACTTCAAGATCGATGGTTAAATTAAATTTATAAACAAACATGAAATACCGCTTACTACAAACATATAAAAAATATTTTTCGAAATTCGAAGACCGGGTCAGGACTGACCCAGCGTCAGATTTTACATAGAGGAAAGAGTTAATGTAATTCGGTGGTCAGGACGATTTAATGCATTATAAGCTCTTAAATTATGCCATCAAGATATAAAGCAAGCACTTTAGAGTTATCCGTCATCTAACGACGATGAGAAGATGACAGTTCGCTGTCAAGCAAACAATTTACAAGAAAAGAAATCTACGTTGGAATTTGGTATTTATGTTGCTTTTTGGTTCGAAGTACTGAAAAGAACTGACCTAGCGAGTAAATCTTTACAAAGCGCAAATATAGACTTACATACATGTTCGTCTTTCTCTAGCTCATTACAACATTTTTACGAGTCTCTTAGTGACAAATGTATTTATTTGAACAAAAGGGGCAGTTCTTATCACAAATCTAGAGGAAAAGCTTACGCAGAACTTGCCATCAGTTTCTCATTTTTATTTTTTCTACCTCTTTTAGAGGATAACGTGATTTCAGACAAAGCGTCGGTATTAGTGAGTATTTATTCGAATGACTTGAATACATCACTAGCAAGTAAAACAATTAAAACATTTTATAATGTCACAACTAGGTCAAGTTGAGTAAAAAAATCCAACAAATCACAGTGCTACTTTTGTGATGGAGCTTTTACATAAAAATAATATAATTGCAACCTTCTGAAACGTACTAAGAATCTTCGTATAGTTGATGGTTACTAACGCAACTGGTGAAAGATCATTTTCCACTTTAAAACGGGTCAAACATTATTTAAAAAATACAATAACGGAAAAAACATTAAATTCGTTTGCTGTTTTAAATATTAATAATGACCTGCTTAAAAAATTAGATTTTAATAAACTCATCGAGCTGTTTGCAAGTAGAAAGTCCAGGAAGATTTGTTTGTAAATAATTATGTTATTTTACTTTATAAGTTGTGAATTTGTGTCTTTGTGGCTTTTTTGTATATTTGTTATAAATTACCTAATAATAAAATAGTTTTAATGAATTGTTAACTTAAGGCGCATCTATACCTACTGGAGAGTGGCGGTATAGTATGACTTAGCCCCCGGCGGTCCATGAACTAAATCCGGCACTGCTTTTTCTGCTCTAATTCTTTGTATATTGAACAGACTTTGTAGTTGGCGGGATGATTGCCTTCGCCTAGTAAGCATTACACACAATTTAACTTTTCTTTTCTTAGGCATTTTTCTCTCATGTGACCTCTAGTGCACTTAACACTTGGTGGTACAATATTTGTTTACTTGTCCGTATCTTTGGTACCTTGTACATTGTGTTATGTCTCTTTTCTGTCGCGGTGGTTCAAATTTTATCTTGTAGTGTTTAGTGCTCGTTCAAAATTACCATAAAACATGGGCAGTAGAGTTTTAGCTCTGTAGTGTTAGATATTCCAAACGTTCCCTACTCAGTGTCAATGTTTTTCTATAGGATCTTTTATGTTGTTTACGTTGAATGAGTGTGCAAATTTTTCAGTAATACTCTGAAGCTATGTTCTTTTTTTAGCTTATTTGTGTAAAATGGTGTTTTCTTATCTGTTAGAGCTTAATATATTACCCTATAATTTTACGATGCTTCTGGTTGGACTTTGACTTGTGCTAAGCTAAAAACCTCTTATCTATCTTTAGGCGATTACGTCCAGCAATTCCATTAAAGGAGTAACATTCTTAAGCTATGGTTTGTTAGAGCATTGAGCGACGCATAACTCACAGTCAGTCGAATGCCGCGCACGTTCGTCAAAATCAAAGAAATGGTTCTCTATGATAACGGTTTGTTAGGTTCTGCTGAGCTGCGCTTACTGCATACCAACAGCCGTGTACGTCGACGGTGTGCGCCGGAATCAATAACTCAACTAACAAATTTAATCTTTATTATATTTTATTTTTTTATACTTAAAGTACATAATTCATACAATAATTAGCTTTAAAATAAACTAAATAATAACATTCATATAAGATATACAAATTTTGAGAATATACATTTTAAGTAGAAATAGTTTACAATAAATATATAAATAAGCTTAGCTTATGCAGCATGACACTAAAGTAAAGTGTGTTGAAACATATAATAAAATAGAAAAAGCAATGCAGACATGTGGAGCCATTCTTATCAAACTGTGAAAAAATATATTGTAATGTGTAATCTAATTACGCATCTTGGCTGTAGCGTTTGTGACCACCCTAAGACATAAAGACCTACAGTTGTGACATACAAATAGTCATACAAATATTAATGGAACCATCCACCAAGAATCTATCTTTTAGATAAACTTTATTGTGATCTTTAATGTTTAAAGTTATCTTTAATGATCTAGCATATAAATAATTTAATAAATTAATTTAGAAAATTTAATGTGATATTCACAAGTTACCAAAAAGTCTAAAGTCTGACAAAACAACCACATTTCCAACCATGGGTCATTTCTCAAGAACGGAACTAACACAAATTGATAACGAGGAAGCTCCAATAAGTAGTAGTCGCCGACGTTTCGTAGGGATATGGCACTTTAAGAAGGGACCGATGTGTTCAGCCTGTAATCAGCTACAGGTTTGCACTACAGGTTGAAATTCACCATTGCATTTCGGTCACATTCACGGTACATTTGATTTGATGATTGCTTCCGTTTCGCTATTTTCTTATATGTCTACACATACTTTTTATGTTTGTTACACATCATTTTAATCTATAATATCACAATTTTTAATTGACCATTGCTAATGATAGCAAAAATTTTACAACAAATTATGTTCAAAATAAAAAACTTATGTACTTTTAAACTAATGCTAACTTATTATGATTAGTTTCTGGACCGACCAATTCCTTGACCAAACGATACTTTAGGTCTATAACCGTTTTGGTCAGCTACGTAGGTGGTTTGAAGTGAAAATCCCTCGGGGTAGTTAAAAGCAAAGTCGCCATTCACTTGAAGTGCGAGTTGGTCCTGGGATACTTGTTGTAATATTCCTGCTTCATTACGAACAATTGGATCACTAGTTTCGTATCTGAAAACAGAATTTAACCTTAACTACTTTGTATTTAATAAATACTAAATATTAAATAGATTTTAAAGAAAAAACACAAAACAAAATGAAGAACATGAAAATGCAAGCTGGCGATTCTCCAAGGGTAAGATGATTTTGCTTGAAGCACCAATTTACCTATTCCACCAAAATAAATAGTATAGCAATGTGTTGCGTTAAAAAATAAATCGACTAATTAACTTTGATAACACACATAGGTAATATCCAATAAAACTTATCTGAACTGTACATAAATTATTTAATTCTAAAAATTGTTGAATTTAAATAAAGCACCAATCTAAGGTGCAAGACCAGTTTATGGTAACACGATTTCCTGATTTGTCTTGAACTAGTTCCTGATGAACTACATATGTCATCAGCATAACTCAAGTGATGTAGTTTTTCCCCGTCGACACTTTTATCGTGGCATCAGACTTAGATTCTGATTTAGATGTTATATTTCGAATGTAGATGTATCAGCATTACGTGGCTAGTCATTAAACATCATTATATTTTATTTATTCAGTTCACTTATATCGCTGTAAAACCTAGACTCTTAAAATAATCACTATAAAACGTTAAGAAGACTTTAAAATATGGATTTATAAAATATTAATGAAGATATTAAAGATTAAAGATCCTATGTAAATCAGACAAACAGTTCCTTGATAATCTAGTTGTACTTTTTAACAACATATATGATGGCGGTAAAATCCCGGAGAACTGGCTACAGTCAACATTTATTACAATCCCGAAGAAACCAAATGCCCAGATTTGTGATGACTACCGGCTTATAAGCTTGACCAATCAAGTCACTAAAGCGTTCACTAAGATCATTCATAGAAGAATATATTATGTGAGTCAAATATTGATAGATTGCAGTTTGGTTTTCGGAAGGAAGGACGTGTATTTGTGCTTTGTAGATTTTAGAAAAGCATTTGACAATGTCAATAATAAACAATTGATAGATATTCTGCGAAAGACAGATATTGACAACAAGGACATTCGAATTATGGCAAACCTATACTGGGGTCAAACAGCAAGAGCAAAAATTGGCAACGAACTTACTGAAAGTGTGCAGATCAAAAGAGGTGTCCGTCAGGGGTGTATATTATCCCCACTTGTATTCAATATGTATTCCGAGGAAATATTTAACAAATGTATGGAAAATGCAAATGAGGGCATAAAAATAAACAGCGAGTTAACGAACAATATAAGATATGCCGACGACAGGGTGATCCTTGCCAGTACCATAGACGAATTACAACAAGTAATGGAAAGACTTTATTCAGTTAGTGAGGAATACGGCCTTAGCTTCAACTTCAAGAAGACAAAGTGGATGCTGATAAGCAAAAAGCAACAACCTGCTCGACAATTACGGATATGTAACATACTAATTGACCATGTAGAATCTTATGTGTACCTTGGCACCAACGTAAATGCAAAATGGTAACAGACCATAGAAATTAAGGCAAGAATAGAACGAGCTAGAGCAGCATTTAGCAATATGAAAAAGCTCCTCATAAGCAAGGATTTGTCTCTTCCCTAAAACTACGTATAGTTAAATGCTACATTTTTCCGATCTTGCTGTATGGCGTGGAGGCCTGGACGCTGACGGAGACGCTAACGAGAAAACTAGAAGCATTCGAAATGTGGGTGTACCGACGCATTCTTCGTATATCCTGGACCGAACATGTCACCAACATAGAGGTACTCCAAAGAATCGGAAAGGAGAAAGAAATCGTGAATACAATTAAACAAAGAAAGCTTGAATATCTAGGCCACATATTGAGACACGATAAGTACCGTCTGCTACAATTGATTGTCCAGGGAAAAATAGACAGTAAGCGAGGGCCAGGCAGGAGAAGACACTCGTGGCTCCAAAATCTGCGGAAGTGGTTCGGGCTCACATCGGTCGAACTATTCAGAAGCGCTGCAAACAAGATCAAAATTGCCATGTTAATAGCCAACGTTCACAACGGACAGGGCACTTGAAGAAGAAGAAGAATGAAGATACATAGGAGGGATAACGTACGCAATAAGGAGGTTCTGCATAGGCTCAATAAATAAAGATAGTTGATTTCTAAATTAAAAAAGCACAAATAGTATGCAACATAAAAGGCAATAAAGGAATATAACGACGCCAATATTCGTGGTTGATAAATATATTGCTTTGCTGTGACATTCAAAATACAAACAAATTAGAAAACATTCTACATAATGCCAGTTTGTCCATAATCCGCGAAATGTTGCAATTTCATAAATTTATATTTTGTAGAACAAGATATTGTAAGTATTAAAGATTTGTTTTTCAATGTGATATCAAATTCTGATTTTGATCAAATTATTTTTAGTTTACATATAGTATATGGAAATTCATTAAGAAACAAAGAAATATACATTTACATAAATTTACTTTTTACTAATGTTTGTATTTTCAGTATGATTTCCGAAGTAGAAATTGAAACGTCAATAAACTAACTTTAACCTTTAATTGTGACTTATTGCCATTTAAATTGTAATTACTTTAAAATGCCACAAGAAAAAGCTTCAGAAATTCACAAGAAGATTGTACCATATAAAGAAAACCAACGTTTTATTATTCAATATCAATTTGTTGGGTGTTTTTATGTTACTTAATTTGTTGATTATCTGTGCTCTCTTTATTTTAAATACACTTCTTCTGCTTCTTCTTCTTTTTTATAAGCAAAATGCTTGTTCAATGTCGATTAATGCCTCTATTGGAGATTATCACTCCATCTTTTGCGTGGTCGCCCGATACTTCTTCTACCTTTTGGTGATTTGTCCCTCGCTATTCTGACTAATCGGGTTCGTTCCATTCCTTTTTTCTGTTCAGTGTCCACTCATTTATTTCTGGTATATTGCATTTTCTTCTGATCTTTTCACTCCTCATTCGATCCCTTAGTATGTTTCCTGTAATTCTCCTCAGTAAACGCATCTCCGCTGTTTCTAGTAGTTGCTGAGTTTTGGAGGTATCCGGTCTTGTCTCTGAAGTGTATGTCATTATTGGTCTTATTGGTGCTTTGTAGATTCTTGATTTCACGTCGGTATTAATGTGGGGATTGCGCCATATCGTGTTATTAAGACAACCTGCTATTTTATTAGCGTTTTGTACTTGATTTTTCACTTCCTTCTTCACATCTCCGTAGCTAGAAAGTGTAATTCCTAGGAAATTTGTCTCCATTACTTGCTCAATGCTGATACCGTCGATTTCCATTTTACATCTAATTTGTTCTTTACTGATTACAATTGTTTTAGTTTTCTGTGTAGAGATCACCATATTAAAGTCCTTTTAAATTCACGTGATTAAAATATATAATTTTCTTATTTTGTCTGTCTGTCCGTAATAAAAAGCCAAGCGCCGGCATTACATCATTTCTCTGTTATTGTTTCGATTGGAGCGTGTGATACGTTAAATGAAAAAAAAGGGATAATGATTATAATAACATAGAATAAACAAACAAGGCGACTACCAAAAGAGCCATCAGATTACGCACCTTATCTTCGTTAATCGCCTTGATATAATCTCTCTCCCACCAGTAGGGCGGTAAATTGCTTATCCAGGCAGACCTCTCGGAGTGTGAAAAACCCTCAAGAAGTCCGTTTCCACTATAGCTTTCCTAAAGTTTCTGGCTCAACTCACACGAGATCGATGCGGAACTGCCTGATGTGTGTGTCCGTTTAAGGATTTTCTCCCAGACACGTGACATATATGGTAGAGGGAGGGTAAGTGCGGTAGCTTCAGTTGCTGAGCTATTCAAATTTGTCAGTCTCATTGTCACGATAGCCGGGACGTGCACGGCCATGGCCGTGATGCTCAGACCACCTTCTTTAGTGGGAGCGTGTATGTAGGCATCGACACACGTTCGATTGAGGGATATAATTTTTCGAACGTCTATACCTACGGATCTGTCAACGCCCTTCAGTGTTTTCATAGTGATAATTGGGCTCTGGAGCAAAACGTCCATCAGACTGCCACCTTATCTTCGTTAATAATAAACTTCTAACGACATATGAGATATTACATATCAGAATGGATGATTATATACACACTATCAGGTAAATTTGCTTTATTGACTTGAAGAAGGCCTTTGACTAAGCACAAAATAAACAATTAATCGAATTCTAACATTCTATATAGAAAGTGAAATAGGAGTTTATAACAAATATATTAAGATAAAACAAACGAAAAGGTGACTACCAAAAGGGCATTACACAACATATTCATCATTATTGAAAGTGTAGCGAGATACGAGATATCATATAACACTGTATATAAAAATAGGTTTACTACAAGACAAATTGTACTTTAACCACTTAAAGATGGCACTTTGGTTGAGGACAAAATAAACAACTAATCGAATCCTAACACGCGATGCATATCAAATGAAAGGGGAGTAAATAACAAATGTACATAGATAAAAAAAATCAATCAGTTTTTAGTTGTTATCACCTGTCAGGATACAACGACTATACTATATGCGACTATTAGACCAAACTCTGTTTGTGACCAAAGTTTGTTACCGTACTGTATAAGTTAAATACGATACTAAAGCTTATTTGTAGTGTAACGTTTTGTGCATCTGAACACATTTTATTTACATCAATATAAATCTGCATAGAATATTTTTGTTGTGAGAACAAAAACATTTCAGTAGATCATCCTAAGTTCTAGAATCCCGATGGATAGCATCGGGTCCCATTCTAGTTGTTACATACGATACTATTTATTTTGGGATTGACGACACCGTTAAGAAGCTTGTATTACTCATACCTTTAGAAAATCACTTTTATAAGCTTCCATATCCGTTTTCCAACTCGCTCAATCCACGATCTTGAAAGTTGTTGATCTTCAGCTTGACTATCATCTGCAGATATACTAGGCAGGTGCCTGTAATTGTTTTAGTAATTTTAGAATCTAATAGACCCAAATTGTAGACTGAAAAGTACAGAAAATGGAC